GGGGGGAGAGGGGGGAGAGAGAGAGAGAGAGAGGAGCGTGTATGCTTTCATATTGTGGTAATTGCAAGAGAGATTTTGAGAGATCACACTGGGAAGTATAAAATCGAACTAGTTTTGGTCATCAATATTTTGTGTCATGCACGCGTATTCAGAATTGTTCGAGATGGAAGAAACATTCAAGGAGTATGCATAGAGAGATACATCTAGACACCACGATCACCATTTATACACATTATTATTTCATTTCAATCAATAAGTAAGCAGTAAATATTTTACTTATGTCGTAAATGCTTCATCTCCTCTCTGCTTCTTCTCGTTTTTCCTTCTTTTGCTCAGTTGGATGTTCTTAGAGGTGGGACAAATATGTCGAGTACACGCCCACTGGGTCATACAGTAGCCTTGAAACATATGCATGCTTTCCATAGGTCATGCAATGTTATTACTATTAACATTTCTCTTTCAATTCCTTTGTTGTTCAGCTTTCTGCTGGGTTATGAGATTTGATACTGATCGAAACTGGAGCTTGCTAGCTTATCTTGAAGACGAAAGAACTGTAAGCCTCACTCCTCCCTCTGGACTCATATGGTAGCCCTTGTGAACGACGATTCGATAATCCTGAAACCTGAAAAATTATTCAAGAATTATCACTGAGCAAGGCCAATCTGAAGTACATCCTAATTTCTAGAAAACTTAAGTCACCGTATAGGGTTATACTAATCTTGCTATTCTAACTTATTTAAGACGATTTTATTCTCAAGCTTATCGGAATTTTCATAGAATTGGTTTGCTAGCTGACCCTCGATGTGAATAATTAACTTGGGAGGAATTTAATTAGTCAAATAAAAATATGATTATCGTGTTATATTCAAAATTAAACCATGCAGGAAGAGCCAAGCAGTCATCGAAATTCGGCGCATTGGTCAAAAGCTTAACAGTTCGATGACCTTTTCGTTGGTCTAAGTTATACACATTGAGAAACATAATCTTCACATGACCCTTATTTTTAAATATGACCTTTGGTTGGTATAACCATCTGAATGAAATGGTCGGAAACTTTCTAATTTTTTTTATATGAAAATATTATTATTATTTTCTCTTTCACCTATCAATTAAAACATCTGTGAAAATAACTACTGAATTTTTTTTCAGGGAAATTTTAGAGGGAAAATAGTGTGATTCTTTTCAATAGTGTAGATACTCATCGAAGCTTTCTATTGTTTCCGTATGAAGACGCCACTATTTTTCCCCCCCTCACATTCAATCAAAATATCGGTGGGAATAACTATCAAACATTTTTCAGTGGTAAATATCAATGGAAAACAAGTGATCTTTTAATAGTGATAATGATATTTGAGGGGTTAAAATGGTCATTTTACAAACGATTACTAATTTCTGTTTTATGTACTTCACACTTCAGTAACTCAGCTTTTTAATAATTTCTTACTTACTTTAGAAAATTATGAATTAATATTTTCAAAATATTAGTTGGTGCACCAAAAATAAAAATAGTTACAAATTAATCCTATCAAGGAAGTAATTAATCAAGAATCAATAAACTTCTACTTAACTTTGATTTAATAGTTATGGAATACATAGCTCGTCAATTATTATAGATTAAATTGTGATATTTCAATTAGTAAAGTGTCAGGGAGCCTTGGAGTAACTGGTAAAGTTATTGTTATGTGATTAGGAGGTTATGGATTCAAGTCATGGAACAACTTTCAGTAAAAATTAGAGTAAGATAGGTTGATTTATTTATTTTTTGGCATATTTGGTTGATCTATTGTGAATTGCTTAAAACATAAATTAAGAGAAAATAATAAAAGAAGAAGAAAATATGCTATAAAGATTAAAGGGTGTGGATAAATTATTTTAGTGGAGTCAAAAATGTTCTTGAAAATCTTGTAAAGTTACAAAAACTAGTGTTAGGGGTTAATTGATTCCTTCTTTTGTCTATGCTTTTGGATTGGGTCTTTGCTTGAGTCCATTCATTTCTGTATATTCTTTTTTCTTTTTTCTTTTTTGTCAAAGGTGGTTTAACTATGACCCACCATGGACACTTTGACTAGGGCACATAAAGAATATTTAGAAATTATGTTTGTTCTTAACTGATGTACTAATTAAGTGATCTTTTTGTTCCTAGATAAGGTTGAATAAGTTCGAGATTAAATTTATATTTTGTTTGATTAAAGATTTCTTATTGAAGACTCTGATAGCTGAAAACGTCTTCTTCTTATTTTAATCTATTAATTCTCCGTCTTTTCTTAGCTTGACACCTACATTAAGCCCCTCTTTTTTGTTCTTGTTGTCTTGCGAAATAAATTAGTTCAACGGTTATAATTTCATAACTATAATTTCGAAATAACTTAGTTAGGTAACCAAACAATCTCTGTGAGATTTTTGGTTGCATAAGGTAATATTTGGAAAAAAGAATCACATAAATGGTAATAATATATTTTGGGTACCTTTTCATATAGGAAAGCATAAAATTTAGCATTTTGCCTGCATACAAAATATTTGTATAAAGTTAGGTTAGAATTTATCTCATGATATGAAGTATGAAATAAGAATAATGAATTGGTAAACACAGATTAAAATGTTCATTTTGGTTTATTATTTTTATTGCCTGCATACAAAATAATTTTATAAAGTTAGGTAAGAATTTATCTCATGATATATGAATAAGAATAAAAGTAGTAGTAAACACGGATTAAAAGATCAACATTAAATTGATTTAGTAAACACGGATTTAAAGATCAACATTAAATTGATTTAGTAAACACGGATTAAAAGATTAAAATCAACATCATGGTTTGTATGAGTCTTATCCCTACCTTATAAGAGTAAATATCGAGAGGTTGTTTTTTTATAAATTCCCAATTCAAATAAAATATAGCAAAATAAGAAGGAAAAGAGAATATTTCAGGAAAAAAACAAAATAGTACCAATAAATATTACGATATGAAAGAAAAAGAGAATAATAATAGGCAATTATAAAAATTCAAAAAAAATAAATACTAATAACATTGATTAGGGAAACTCTATAGCACAATTACCTATTAACCAGCTCTTGATCCCCGTTCACTATAATTTTTCATCTAGGGTCGCGTCATCGGTAAGTTATATGTGTTTTAAGTTACGTCTAATCGCTTCACCATATATACTTCTTTGATCTTTCTCTACCTCTCCTTAGACCCACCAAACTCAACATCTCACATCTCCAATTAAAGCATCTAAATATGTCCTCGTCACATATCTAAATTCAGATTCAACCTCACTTTTCTTAATTTATCCTCCACAGAGGCAATATCCACCTCGTCCTGAATATCTTCATAATTTCTAATCTTGTTTCGCCTAGCTAGTATACCAATAGATCCATTTCAAATCCCCATTTTCAGTGCGAGTTCTTAACTAATCGATACTATGAATATATAACTAATCGAACAACCACTTTATTAATTCCATAAATTGCTAATTTTACATCATTGTTCCATATTGTTTTACAATATAATCTTTATTAGTAGTAATTTATGTATTACTTGTCTCTAAATTAAACAATCTCTTAAGTGTAATTTATATTCTCAGTCTTTTTATCTACGAACTTACAGAAACTCATAACTTAAAACTATATATCCAAAAATATTCATTAATTTAAAATAATTACCATAAAAATGCATAATTTCAAAATTTTAAAGTTATCTGGACACTCTTTATTGTAATATTCTATTTATTATAAAATTACTATTTCATACTATTTAATTAAAAACGAAAGAGTCTCATTCATCCTACCACACTTGTGGGCGATATCCTCGAAAGGAACGTTAAAACGATCCAAAGTTTGAAATGTGTGACAGCACAATCAGACAATGAAGATAACTCGATATCTCCGATCCAAACGTGCATTGTCCTTTTTTAAGGATTAAAAATAGCCACGTAAGTCTAATCATAACCGTTAATTGTTACATCATTTGTCAGAAAATGAACGATGATGATATGGTTTCACGTGCGGGTAAAAATCCATTACTTAACGGCTGGATAATATGTAATACTGTGCAATAATTTTTTACAATTTCTTCGAACCTCTATTTTTCGAATGAACACTTTATGATAATTAGTTAATTGTGTAATAATTTTTACTTATTAAATCACATAGAAAAAGTAAGTCGTATTACTAAGCTTCATGCTATGAGCTTATGACTGAGTAGCTGATGAGGGTTGGATTTGATCCAAGGTCTTTTATCCACTTCTCAGACAGAGACGGAGTCAGAATTAGGAGTATGAGGTTCTAAATTTTAAAACAGAAAAGAAAGGTGTTCGAACCCAGAAGAAATGTGTGGAAAGTATTTTCACCGCTCTTTCTTACCACTGAACTGTCAATTAATTTTATTAGGGGGTTCACAAGTTAATATGCATATATATTTATTTAATTGTTTAAAACAAATACAAATTTTACGGAAAAGCTAGTGGATTCGTCCGAACCCATGAACCCTCACCTAGCTTCGCCTCTGCTCCCAACTACTCAACTATCACTATAATAAAGACAACTTTTAACGATAATAAATATGTATATTAATAAAAGGTACGAAAATCTTTATTGTCATTGAATTTAATGTCATTATAGGTTTTCAGGACATTTACAAAGAGGGATAATTTTCTCTAAAAAATATATTTAGTTTGATTAAGCTATTATTATTAATTAATTGCTGTTGGTTAAAAGGTGTTTTTACTTTTAACTTGTAAAAGTGCTTTCACTTATTTTATGAGACAAATTGGTATAGGATTTGCCTATAATAGAAAGAGTGACGTTGGGTTAAAGGATCCAGTCAGCTATGTAACGCTTTTGACCAAGTGATGAGTTTTTTTTTGTTTTTTTTATATACTATATACTAGTATATTATACTATAAAATTATCAGTCTTTTTGCTTAAGCTGCTTAGCGTGAGCTCGGCTTAGAATGTCAATTAATCTATATCTTAATTTATGTGACATATTTTAATTGAATATTAAATTTATGAAATATAAAAAAGTATTTTATAATATTTTAAAATTATCTTTAAAAAAATATATGTTTTAATATATTTAAATTAGGATATTTATAAATCAGGACTTATATATTTAAATTATAACACTTCATTAATACAAACGTTAGAATAAGTTGTATCACACCATTTTAATGTATGATTTTTCAAAAAATTTACGTGAACGTCAAATATTTCATTCACCAAACTACCCGTTGCAATTTATATCATCTATTCATGTGCTCATGGTATCAACAAACTCATTTTTCCTATTATGCTAATTATCTTTTTTGGTACACAATTTCCTACATGCCCGATCTGCAATATGACATAGCAAGTCGTCTTAAACTCTTGTAGGAGCATAAGACTCTTAACTGAAGTCGCGAAAAGTGATAAAAAAAATCTAAATATGATGAGAATTTAAGAGTGTATTTCACTCATATTACAAAATCAGACGTGTATTTAAGTTCAATTAGTCAAAATAAGAGGTGCCTTAACTTGAAGAGTAAATACTCAGAGTTATCCAGCTCAAAGCCGAGCTGTGCAACATAAATATTCTGGCTCTTTCTTTGACCTTTGACTAAAAATCTGCCACGTGTCTTCCACACGACCCCTATATAAACCCCCAAATCTCTTCTTCTCCACCGCATTCACATTTCCCCTCTTTCGAGCCCTAATTTCTCTCTCCCCAAATACAAAATCTCCGATCCAATTATGTCAATCAACCACCGGACTTCCACCGGAGACCGCCGGAATCCTAGCCGGTTACAGCGTCGAGCACCGGCATCGATTCAAATCAACCGACCGACCGATTGGAATGTCGCT